TGCTGAGTCCTACTTAGTTTGCAAATGTGTATTACGTCCAATGAGACTATCTGATTATAATTAAGATCATAGAATCTAGGCTTGAAATTAATTATTGAATGCACAGAAGGATTTTGTTCCATGTATATGTGGATACTTCAGATCTATCAGAACCTTAAGGGCTGTCATGCTCCATATGTACACTTCAAAGAATATATATGTACTTCTGTAAGAGTGCCCTTTTCAAAACGTATCAGGTAGGAACTCTACAGGCAGGAATTCTCTCTTTTCTGTGTTTTTACAATGCACAGCACGCAGTAGGCTTCAGTCTTGACTGGGATCTTTAGACACTATCATGCTGTACATTATTTAATGATGTTACAAGCAGTAGTGTCTGCTTTGAATGTTATTGCTAAGTCTCTGATGACCATGACCTTATTTACTCTGTTACCACACTACTACTAGCTCAGTCATTACTCTTCAAAAGACTCAGAGCACTATCCAAAATGGTTGAGATTCTCTCGTGCCATTGCAAGTGCTCTCAACTCTGATTAAATTCTTTGGGAGGCAAGAAAATCAGCACATCTTGTAGATTTGGCTGATGCTGCAAGAAACGTACTAATGACGAGTAACAATGTTTAAATGAAGACTTCTGGGAAAATTAATTATCATACTTTCTATGGACTACATGCTGATCCCACACTTACTTGAGGAACTATTAACTGTCCAAGAAAAAACTCTACTAAAATTATAGGGGTTATAATAGAGAACAAAAAGAGTATGAACGAAATCAGACTTGTGCCTCAGGGATGAAAAGATTTAGTAACAGAATAATTTTTCTTTTTATGAATAACTTTATAATATCGTTTATTACCAAGAGTGACTTCATGATTTTACACAATCAACAGTATTTTTCAGAAACTTAAATCAGACGTTTATATTTAAACAAAAACAAAGCTGTAAATCAAACTTTGGCATGCAAAATCTATGTATTAAAGAAATCACATAGGTGACCAAGAAGAAATAAAATAATGGGCTTTATTGATTCTTATGCATGTAAAATTAATCCTTAATTCAATGACTAAAATCTCCAAGATACACAAGTTAATTCCTGTGATTTAAAAAGTCTACGAAGAGAATGTATTAAAAATATGCTTTAAATATGATTGAATCTTAAACCAGTTAAGATTTAAAAAATATTGTTTAAAGAACCTGAATCATCTTGTACTCTACAGTTGCTGAAAAGCATGAAAAGTATCTTTATTAATGGTAACCACATAAGAAACAGGGAAAATCACTGTATTTTCAGTGGGAATTATGCTTTCAAATCTTGTATAAGCATATATTTACCACTATATAACTATTTACAGCTTCCTAATAAAAAACCTGTGACAAATATGAAATTTTAATCCACACAAAAAAGAACAGCAGTGAATGAGTATATGAGTGTATGGTACCTACCAGGAGGCATCGTGGATTGTTCTTGGAACTGATTCAAAGCATCCTTCAATCTCTCAATATCCTGTAGCAATACAAGGGATTTCAGCTGATGCAGAAGAGTCACGTCTGAGGAAGAGATGGTACGAGACTCAAGATATTGTAAAAGCTCTTGGGCAGTTGCTGAATTTACAGCAGAATCTGTGCCTGCTGATTTATCTGGAAAAACAATTGGAAAACCACATTAAAAATACCCAGTGAGCACAGAGAATTTTCCTAATTATACTTCCTTTTCAAAGACAGCATCTTCCACTCTAGTACAACTTCCAACCAAATATCAAGTACTAAAGAGCAGCTTGGTCCTCTCATTTTTCATTACATATTTAAACCATGATAAGAGGGGAAAGTATCAAATTCTAAAAGTAAAGACAATAGGATTCATAGTGACAGGAATGCAAGAGGAATCTAAATTTTCAAGATTAGCACAGGAAGAAAGTGCGATGAAGAAACTGTACTGTGGCCAAAGCACTGTGGTTTTGCCTCCTACACACTACGTATTATAAAAATGCACACACATGCAGCAACAGGGAAGAGCTCTGTGGAACTACTGCAAAGCACTTCTAGAGGCATCCAATGTACTTTTACGTTTTTATTTAAAAAGTGGATATTACAGCTTGCAAGACAGCAGAGAAGGACATACATTGTTTCTACAGTACTAAAGCATTAATTCATTCTTCCATTCCAGTAACAATGTATAGTCTGTCCCTTTAACCAAACTCCCTTTAATTCTGTTTTCACCAGCAAGCCAACTGAGAAGAACAGATTTTTTCCAATTCAGCTTTCTGACATTAAGTACAAGAAGTATAATGTAATGTGACCATTTGAAAATGCTGCTAAAAGCAAAGGCTTCCAATTTTATCTAAAAAAACCTGGGAGTGTTAAAGTCACTCAAGTATAAAAGGCAAACAGCATAATGTCAGACCTATATATAAACTGGGATTTGCCTAAGAAGAAACCTAGTCACACTCTGATTTACGGATGTGGTATCTTATCTGCAGATGAACTTCCTTCTACCTGAGAATTTCTCTCTGTGGATTCCAAGGTCCTCACTGGCTCAACGCTCTGATCTGCAGGTCTGACAGCAGGGCCAGTCACTCTGTCAATCACTGCTGAAACCTGAACTTGACTTCCACGAAAGCTGGAAGCTCAACACTTTTTCTTAAAATTCAACATGCAACACAGCTGTGGACAGTTGACCAGGTTTCTGTTCTTGGTAAAGTGTTAATAGCAGAACTGTTAACTGAGTTAACAATCTTGCTTAATTACTCTGGACTTACACTACAGCAAATGCACATAGTTTAGCTTACTTAGCCACACACTGAAGTAGTAAAATTCTTATTTTTGGTAATGAAAATACATAAGTCAGAAAGTAGGATGGATTTCCAATGCTAGGCTTAGTATGAATACCTGACACAGCAGAAATATTTTAACAGTACACAAAGAAAATGTATCAATCTTGAGAAAAAAATTAACATGAAATCCCTGATGTCATCTTAACAGGGTTTTTAAAGTAATTCTGTAGTCAAAGATGAATTTTATGACAGTAGGAGCTGACAGGTCTGACTTAAGATGGACTCATATGGTATGTAAGCTGTTTAATAGTCTTCATTCAGCTCCACAAAGAAAGTCAAGGCCATGCACTTTGAAAAAAAATTCACTGCTTTTTTCCAGTTTTACAAGACAGTTATCGTTTTAAAGTTATGTTCTGAGCTGAGCAACTACAGAACACACCAGCTTGTCTTTAAGAAAACATATTTAATTCTAGATGATACCAACATAATCTGGTGTATGTACACATAATTACTATACTTACCATTAAAACTTCATTATCTCTGAAACGCATTTATGACATAAGCACCGTACAAGCAACTTTTTAGGAAGGCAACTGAAGAAACATACAGTAGGAATTTTTCTGATTTTAGTGGCCAGATGAACATTCAATAGGCCATAGGGATAACATCCATGCAATCCTTTTTAAAGTGCTATGGAATGTGCATTGAGCATCAGTTCACATTCATCCATCAGCGCTTATGGGCAAGAATCAAGTGGAAGGCCAACAAGGCAGATACCATGGTGGGAATCTTACAGACTGCCCAACCAGGATGAAATAAGCAGCTGGAAGAAGTCTCACAATCGCTAGCCCTTGTTGTCATGGAGAACTTCAACTTGCCATATGTCTGCTGAAAATATAATACAGCAGAGAGGAAACAGTCTAGGAGGTTCCTAGAGCGTGTGGAAGATAACTTCCTGAAACAGCTGTTGAAGGAGTCAGCTAGGGAATGTACCCTGCTGGACCTGTTGTTTGCAGACAGAAAAGGACTTGCGGGTGATGTGATGGTTGGAGGCCATCTTGGGCATAGCGATGACGAAATGACAGAGTTTTGATTCTCAGAGAAATAAGAAGGAGATTTAGCAGAACTGCTAGCTTGGACTTCCAGAAGGCAGACTTTGGTCTGTTTAAGAGCCTGGTTGACAGAGTCCCTTAGGAGGCAGTCCTGAAGGGCAAAGAAGTCCAGGAAGGCTGAACATTCTTCAAGAAGGATGTCCTGAAGTCATAGATTCATAGAATCATAGAATGGTTAGGGTTGGAAGGGACCTCAAAGATCATCTAGTTCCAAACCTCCTGCCATGGGCAGGGAAACCCTCCACTACACCACGTTGCCCAAAGCCTCATCCAACCTGGCCTTCAACACTTCCAGGGATGGGGCATCTACAACTTGTCTGGGCAACCTGTTCCACTGCCTCACCACCCTCTAAGTGAAAAATTTCTTCCTTATATCCAATCTAAATCTGCCCTCTTTCAGTTTAAAGCCATTGCCCCTTGTTCTATCACTACACGCCCTTGTAAAAAGTCCCTCTTCAGCTTTCCTGTAGGCCCCCTTTAAGTACTGGAAGGCTGCTATAAGATCACCCCGGAGCCTTCTCTTCTCTAGGCTGAACAGCCCCAACTCTCTCAACCTGTCTTCATAGCAGAGGTGTTCCAGCCCCCGGATCATCTTTGTGACCCTCCTCTGGACCCTCTCCAGCAGCTCCATGTCCTTCTTGTGCTGGGGACTCCAGAGCTGAATACAGTATTCCAGGTGGGGTCTCACAAGAGCAGAGTAGAGGGGCAGAATCACCTCCCTCGACCTGCTGGCCACACTCCTTTTGATACAGCCCACAGGAGCAGGCACGCTCATATGCCAAAAGATGAGCCGGCAGGGAAGCAGACCGGCCTGGCTGAACAGAGAGCTTTGGCTGGAACTCAGGAAAAAAAGGAGAGTTTACGACCTGTGGAAGAAGGGTCAGGCCACTCAGAGGACTACAAGGATGTGGTGAGGTTATTCAGGGACAAAATTCAGAAGGGCCAAAGCCCAACTAGAACTTAATCTGGCTACTGCCATAAAAGACAATAAAATGTGTTTCTCTAAATACATTAGCAACAAAAGGAGGGCTAAGGAGAATCTCCATCCTTTATTGGATGTAGGGGGAAACATAATGACAAAGCCTGAGGAAAAGGCTGAGGTATTTAATGCCTTCTTTGCCTCAGCCTTTAATAGTAAGAACAGTTCTCGAGGTATCCAGCTCCCTGAGCTGGAAGACAGGGATAGGGAGCAGAATGAAGCCCCCATAATCCAAAGGAAAATGGTCAGGTACCTGCTACACCACTTAGACACACACAGTCTATGGGGCTGGATGAGATCCACCCAAGGGTACTGAGGGAGCTGGTGGAAGTGCTCACCAAGCCACTTTCCATCATTTATCAGCTGTTCTGGCTAAGCTGGGAGGTCCCAGTTGATTGGAAGTTAGCAAATATGACACCTATTTACAAGAAGGCCCAGAATGGGGATCAGGGGAACTACAGGCCTGTCAGTCTGACCTCGGTGCTGAGGAATGTTATGAAGCAGAACACCTTGAGTGCCATCACATGGCACATATAGGACAACCACGTGACCAGTCACAGTCAGCACGCGTTTGTGAAAGGCAGGTCCTGCTTGACTGACTTGGTGTCCTTCTGTGACAAGATGACTTGCTTAGTGGATGAGGGAAAGGCTGTGAATGTTGCATACCTAGTAGTAAAGTCTTTGACACCGTTCTCCACAGCATTCTCCTAGAGAAACTGGCTGCAAATGGCTTGGATGGGTGTACTCTTCACTGGGTAAAAAACTGGCTGGATGGCCAGGTCCAAAGAGTTGTGATGAACAGTGTTAAATCCAGTTGGCAGCTGGTCACAGGTGGTGTTCCCCAGGGCTCAGCAGTGGGATCAATTCTATTTAGTATCTTTATCAATGATCTGGATGAGGGGATCGAGTGCATCCTCAGTAAGTTTGCAGATGACATCAAGTTGGGCAGCAGTGTTGATCTGCTTGAGGGTAGGAAGGCTCTACAGAGGGATCTGGACAGGCTGAATTGATGGGCCAAGGCCAACTGCATGAGGTTCAACAAGGCTGAGTGCTGAGTCCTCCACTTGGGTCGCAACAAGCCCATGCAACGATACAGGCTTGGGGAAGAGTGGCTGGAAGGCTGCCTGGTGGAAAAGGACCTGGGGGTGTTGGTCAACAGCCAGCTGAATATGAGTTTAGGGACATGGTTTAGTGGTGGATTTGGCAGTGTTAGGTTAATGGTTGGACTTGATGATCTTCAAGGTCTCTTCCAACCTAGATGATTCCATGATTCTATGATCTTGTTCATAAGTGCTTTATGCCAATACACTTTCCCTGTGTCAACGGTATCTTCCCCTTTCCTCTTGAATGCTTTCTGTCTAGATTTCCTTACATATTAGAAATAAATGTGCTCCTGCGAAGGAGAATTTTCTGAAAAGTAGGTTGGTTCAGAGCTGGAAAGCATGAAAGTAGTTTAGGATAGTGATTATTGCCCTCATTTAAAGCTCTCTGAAAGCAAGTCATCCTTCTGGATGTTTGCTTGCAGAAGAAAGAAGAATTCGGTCTATTTTAACCACTACATTTACCCCAAGTGCATTGGAATGTTTTAAAAAAGAGCAAGGAATATTATGTATATTTTCGAAGACAAAGAGATTAGGACTGCAGTTTTTTATATTGCTGTGGATTCTTACATAGTCATGTACACACCAGAAAATGGGACAAATACTAAGTACTTGCGTGTCTTACTGAGTTCAAGAGACGCTTCTCTAGTAGATTTGGCCCATTCTACAGCAGTAAGTGCACGTCTATTTTCCCCTACGTGGTAATACTCATGAAAAGAAAGGAGAAAGAGTGGTACATACTGTCAGCAAAATAAATTTGTTGTGTTGCCTGCAGGAAGTCCAGAATGCTATCTGCCTTTTCATCTATATCTTTTAAGCCTGCTGCTTCTTCTCTGTTGTTTTTGTCAGGCTGATACGTAAAATGCACACCAGTAGTTTTTGTTACCAAGCCAGCTGCTCTCATTTTTTCTTTCTGTCGCTTCTTTTTCATTTTCCTCTTTTTGTTTTTGCTTATTTTGGGACTGTCTATCTGCTGCAGCTGTAAATTATCTTGAACAAGAGTCTCTTGCATTCCAGATTCTGTTTGTTCTCCATGTAAATTATTAGAGTTTTGCAAACTGTTCTTTTGTTTCTTCCTCCGAATGCGCTTTCTTTTCTTTTGTCCTTGATATTCTTCCTCTGCAGATTCAAAAGAGACATGATAATTGTAAATAAGAAGATCTGTAATAAGCATTTTGGAACTGCATACAATGAAGTATTAATCCCTTCAAATTCTGGGATGTCTGAGTGGCTCTAACCTTACTTTTATGCTTAGAATGCCTTTTAGTACTACAATGTCAAAGCCAACTTCTGAGTGCACTGACTAAGAAGGCAAGTTCTTTTGCCTTCTGGTTTCAATAAAGACTGTACTCTCCTTTGCACTACATACTTTACATCACATTTACTTTCTTAAGGCAGATAATACGGTTCTACAATATACAGAGTGAGGTCAAAAGAATCACCAGGGAACATGGGATAAGACAGCTCCTTCAAGAGCTCCACACCACCAGCTGGTAGACTTGACCAAGAACACAAGAAGAATGCACATAATTAACAATAAGCAATGATTGTGCTTATATTGACAATATCCCTCCATGACAGGGCTATGCCTTAAAACCACCAGGCATCTGTTTCTGATTCCTCTACTTTCCCCTCCTTAGACGTCCTCCTCCTTTGGGATATCTTACTGCTAGCTCAGCTTTGGACATCAACTTTATAGGGAAAGCATGCAAGGCATCAGTGTCCTTGGTAAGTAATCTCGGATCTCTTTAACAGCCTGCCTTGGTTCTGTCATTTCCTTGCTGTGTTATAATTTCCTTACTAGTCAATTCTTCAAAGGCTCAAAGGTGAAGAGGAAGAAGTCCTTTTTGCTCCCCAAGACAGCTTTCATACTTCTTTACTCAGATCTTATCCCTGTACACAAATCCAGAGCTCTGAAGTCATCTCTGATCCTGAACTGACTGCCTCTCCCACACACTCACTTCTGAGTGTAAGTCCTCCTGGCACTAGCAAGGAAAGACTGCCAGAATCCATCTTCCCTTTGACTGCACTGATGCTCAAGTCCATATTAATGCCTGTAACAATTCCTGTCTAACTAACTGAAATTCCCTCTTTCATGGTCTAACAAAATCCTCAGATGTTTAAACACCAAGGAGTGCAGAATGCCGGTGTTCTTCCAATGTCTTGCTCTAGACAGTTAAGCCCCTTATCCTTCCCCTAACCTCTACCTGTGTGTTTTTAAGTTCCTCACAATGCTCTTAGTTACCTGGTTTTACACCATTCTCTTATTTACTTGGTTTTACACCATTCTCTTGGGGTCAAAGAATCTTTGCTTGCCTAACACTGGTGTAATGCAGAAGAGACACTCGAAGCCCCATGTTTGTTTCCGAATTATCTGCATAGTCTCCTGAACAGCATCTGACATTCTCAGCTTGTTTGGCTTTCTCATCACTCCTCCCCCTACCAGTCTTTGCCTCTATTTTCTCCATGGTTGGAGGCCCTCTCTTTCATTTCTGTTTCTTTTTCTGTTTTGAACTCTGTCAGCTCTGAGCCACGTTCTCTCTTTAAATATCACTACAAGACTTTTAGCTCTTTAGCTGACAGATGACTCACTGCAAAGCAATTTTCCATATTTTCTATGAAGAAGGCTGCATAAAAATAAATTTGCTGTATTGTAATTGAACACTGCAGCATGTTAAAGACACACCAAACGTCAGCTTGTATCCACAGTGTGGAATGCTTTGCACGCATGGTATTTGAGCTAAGTATCTTTATGCATGATTTGGACATATGGGATGTGGGAAAAATAACATCTGTGTTGTCCTGTAGGAAAAAAAAAATCAGAATTAAAGGCAGATATGAATGGTGAAAGATGCTATAAACAAAACATCAAAGTTTCATCTTAAGATCTAATTTGGATTTTCATGGGAGTATTTGTGTTATAATGTGAATTTCACTGTAAACATAGATACATTGTTCCCTAAAATTTCTCAGCCCTCTGTTAACCTGAACCACGCTGTTTGCTAATAAAGCTACTCTAATCTGTGCTCTCAGCAAAGCGGCCCAACGTGTTCTTTATGCATCCAAGAATCAGTAAATCTCAGCAAAATTACAACATATAGTGCAGCCAAGCACCCTCAGTTGGTTTGAAGCCACTCAAAAAAAAAAAAAAAAAAGGTGCAGAAGGCAGAACAGGGCTTAAGATAATTGATGTTTTGAGTCAAATCCAAAAGCTTCCTTATCCTTAATAGCTCAGGACAGCAGAAGGTCTGGAGAGACCAGGGTGAAGCTGTCAAAAGTCAGAATGAATGTAGTCTTCCCAGGTGTATGTTATTAAGATAAATACTCGATTGGAAGGAAATCAGAACTGTGCTGTGCTTCCTTGAACACAAAGAACCAATCAAAACCAAAAAATTCCCTAGTTCTCTTCAGAGTTAAACTGGTAGTCTGCCAGCAGTTTTGGTCATTCTTTGCCCTGTATTTTAATATCTCTTTGGTATCTACTGCTCGATGTGTGGGAGCTACTAATGATTCAACGTCAGGAACAGACGAAATTAGATGTTGACAAATGCAAAGCAATGCACACAAAAGGGATTAATCTGATGAACTGTTATCAATTCAGGAAAAGCAAAACAAAAGCCAGACCTGTGCATCACTATGGAAAGCTCAATAAAAACATTTGCTCAGTGGGTATCAGTGATCAAAACAGCAAACACCTTGTTTGCATACATAGAAAGAGGATGGAAAATAACAGGAAAAATATTCCACAGCTATTATACAAATCTGTTGTACTCCTCAAGCTTGTAATGCTCTGTTTGTTAGCATATTCCCAGCACAATATGACTTTGGCAGACAAGAGGAGAATTCTCACAGAAGTTATCAGAGAAAGAAACTCCAGAAAGACTTGTATTATATGACTTGAAAGAAAGAGTAATAAAATGGGCTCTTTCTGCCTCCTCATGCAAGAACAAGATGACATTTAATTAATCTGAGCAATTTCACAAGCTAATAGAAGAAAGTAAATACTTGTTTTACAAATGGTACAGTGAGCTTATTGAATTCACACACATGTGGTATGCACAGAAGCCAAGAGCTTAATGGGATTCAAGAACTGGTTGTTTATATAGCCAGCAAGGCTACCTGATTATAACAGCTACACTAAAATATAAGAGTTCTAGAAGAAACATAAACCATAATGTTTAGGTGTCAGCCCACACAATGATCTTAACAAATAAAATGTTCAGTGGGTTTCACCTCCCACAACTTCAGCTGTCTTAAAGAGAATACTCAGTGCATGCTTAGACCTATGCTCTCTCTGATAAACCAAGAGAGCCTAGCATCTTCAGAAAGTAATTTGCCTCATCCTAAACCAGCTGGAATGGAAACACACCCTGAAGGTCTTCATCTCTTTCTCTCCTCCTCCATTAACTACAAAGGAAACATAGGCAATGAATTTGGACTCGATACTTCCAACAACTGAAAAGAATTAGTCTTCTACAAAAATTAACAGTATGGAGGAAAGTGGTTCTTAACATGAGTCTGCTCATCAGACTGATTTTTACTAATTAACAAAATCTACTGTTTTACGCAAAAACAACCTTTTGACTGACTCTATCTCAAACCAGTAGAGAGGCCTGACAAAATTTCAATAGATACGAATTTTGGTCCAATAATTTTTCCCACTGACTGAAGAGATTGGTTATGTCAAAGCAGCATAATTATAAGAAATGCAAGAAATATATACTACACAAGCAATCTTAATAACATGTCAAATACATACTTAAGTAACGATGAAAGGAACATCAGCCTTTGGACCACACTAACTACAGTCAACGACGGAAGATACAGCTTGTCCTACCACAAGAGCTGATGATTCTTCTCCTCCCACTGTTCCATAATGGCCTGTCACCTCTCTCCCTTCTAAGACTTATCTCTGCCCCATAAGTGGCTTAATTTATCACATAATCAAATTATTCTGAAGCAATTGTCTTTAACCTGTTTAGTCTGGACTCGGTGCCCTCTCTCAGACTGAGCGAAGCGGCTTCCAGACAGAATACCTATGTACATTTTCCAGCCACTGTCATAATTTCATGAGTGTTTATTTCAATCTCAATAAGAACATCCTCTTCAGGAACTACTGAGAATTAAAAATAGGTTCTTTTGTTTGTTGGTTTGGTTTTTTTCTGAATTATTTTTAGCCCAGGTTACTTCCTTGATGCAGTTTACTACGCAGCTGTACAGTCACACTAGCCTAACTGACAGAATGATGTGAAAGTGGGAATGAATAGCCTGAAAAGGAGACAGCAGCAAAAGAAAAAGGCCATCTTCTAACAGCCTACTTAATCTGGCTTGAAACATTAAAAAGTTTTCTCCACACGAACTGCATGTCTCCTTAACAGAACAGAGGCAGAAATATGTCAAAACCAGACTTAAAATGAATTAGAGGACTCCGTTTATAGATACCGCTCATTAAATTTTGATAATGAAAAGTCAGCACATCCAGTTTATATCTTCAAGGAAAAAACAGAAAATAATAAAAATAATGATTTACATCAAGACTCCAAATAAGCTGATTTTTATTTATTAACCTCTACTATATTAGCAAGTTATTTTGTATTCATCATCGGGGCAGCTGGAGACACAAAGAGATTAAATGCAAAGCTTAACATAGGCTCACAGCAACAGCTGACCGTTCCTCCCATCTGGACTAACCATCAGCACGAACACATTGCTGGCAACTCCATGACTGAAAAGATGAGCTTCCTCAAGTTTATCTGTATTTTTTCAGTTCATTCAGACAATAGCAGACGGAAACATTCACGAAAGCATCATCTAAGACAAGGAAAACTGAGAGGCTATTTATTTAGGTGTCTGCAAGTCTAAGGTACACAAAGTGCTAGAGCAAGCCAAATTGAAGTTTGGCTTTCAGTATCTGAGAATAAGCTGATGATGCTAGAGATTTTTAAAAATCATGTCCCTAAATATTATTAGAAAAAAACTTCCAGAACAGCACATAAAAAAGAAAAAAGGGGAAAAAAAAGAGATAAAGCAGACTAAGGAAAAGATAGTTAAAGAATACCCTCTATAGTCAAAGAATACCCTCTGAGCTTTAGAAATCTCCTCTATAATGTGCTCATCACAGAATCATAGAATGGTTTGGGTTGGAAGGGACCTTAAAGATCATCTAGTTCCAAC